ACAACAGTATAAATAAAATATACAACATTTGATATATCGCACTATCTAGCTTACATAAGCCACTCTAAAGGGCTTTACAGTACATAGATATACAATTTTATACAGTCAATACAATTAGCATATATATATTATTCAATACAATATTGAGGAATTCGCAGGAGCTGCCTTATCAGGCGCTAACTTCTAGTCCTATGTCACCTGACTAATATCTCCCTATGTGTGTATGCCTGTGTGTGTGCTGGAGATGTATTGTGTTCTGTTTATAGTGGGACCGTGCTTCCAACGGTATCATTTATAGTGCCACCTCACTTGAATGCTACAGCACAGATACCGCAACACCCATCCCAGACCATTGTATACTCCACCTAGGTCGTTGGAGTTGTATGGGCAGGAGAAAAACACTTTCTCTAATATCCCATGCGTACGGCGACTTCGGGGATCGAACCCTGGCCGCACTGTTTGGAAGGGCAGAGTGTTAACCACTCGACCAATCCGCCCATTGAATCACTACGACTAGTTTCTGTAACATGTTTGTTTTACTTGTAGCTGGACGCAGCCATGTACAAACTCGGCTACCCAGATTTCCTGTTGAATGACAGCGAGATGGACTCAATGTACTCCACGGTAAGCAGAGACGCCCCAAAAACCGGGGCGCCAAAACCGGACATTTGTCCACCATGGTATCAATTCCAATAATGTTTATATAAATACCATTCACAGCTCCTTTCTGTTACAAGTTGATAGATATTTTGGGTTATTCTAGAAATTAAACACAAAATACTATTTGGTCTCGTAGGCTCTTGAACTGGTGTAATGGTACTCTGAAAGAAACACTCCGATATTGTGGCTAATATATGGGTATAAGCGATCAATATAAGCGGAAAATTGTATGTAATTGAAATATGTTAGGGCCAGGAGCGATTCCGATTACATTTCTTAATTCTCCAAATTAGCCATGGTTTTAATAAATAACAAATAATAATAATTCGAGGTTCTTATGTACCGCATTATCTCGACAACCTAGTTCGTAGGTCGTCTCAAAGCGGTTTAAAAAATATTATCCGTTTTTAAGATTGTAGGTTTCGAAATTGACATACAAATACAGTATAGCACGTACATACTAATTTCCACACTCCAACTCCCCATGTATAGCACTAGTTAACCCCAACTCCCCATGTATAGCACTAATTAACCCCAACTCCCCATGTATAGCACTAGTTAACCGCTAGCGAGACCGATACGCCGTAGACATAGTACAGTACATTTTGTAACACTTCCATAAAAAAACCCACTTCTTTGTATTGAATGCCAATTTCGGACCGTTTTCCTACAAGTGTCCCACCTTATATTTTTTAATCACATGCATATACCTTTCCTATGACGGTATTATCATTTTGAATATTATTCAATATTCATTCTTAACTGGGACACGTTTTTAACATATTTCCGATAATTACGAAAAATATCTGATAGTTCTGTGGCAGATTTTAATTGTACATAGGATCACGGTCGCCTTCTAGCCTCGTGCTAGAGGGAAGTTTCCTTCAGCTCAGTGGTAGAGCGTCCGACTAGGAAGTCTGGGATCGCAGGTTCGATCCCCGGTTGAAGCACACTACTTTCTATACGAGACTTTCATAACCATCTGTATAACAATTCCGATATAGTATCCCAGCAGGTTATCCGGTATACTGTTATGCTATGGTTTCCGATATAGTATCCCAGCAGGATATACAGTATACTGTTAGGCTATGGTTCCATTTATGTTGTATAAATATCTCCTGTATTTTATTTGAACACTATTTAGTATTTCCAGAATAAATGTGAAATTTGAATTTATATTGCAGCTGAAAGTAGATAAGGACGACTACTTTACGAATGTTCTGAGTATGAACCAGTTTATAAGAGTTCAGTGGAACAACAGACTATCGAAGGGACAGGATAAATCGGAGTGGTACTACAAGAGTTACGCCACCTTAATCTCGTTCTACAATAGCTGGAACGAGCTCATCGTACCGGCCGGACTTCTACAGTTCCCCTTTTACGACTATACTCTCCCGCACTTTATGAACTTCGGAACAATGGGCAGCACCGTTGGACATTACATCGTGCATTCCATAGACGAGTGGGGTGATTAGTTCTAACCTTACTTAGTTTACAACCTTTATGAAACAATGTTATAAACTTAGATTGGTCACTCTTGGTTGCCCGGATATAGCATGCAGCGGGTCTTAACCTGGGCGAAAACAAGACTATCATCCAACACGGTTAAAAAAAGCAAGGATAGATTACTTTATAATATAAAACTGAGTTTCCAGAATATATTCAGATTAGTTTAAATAGTTATCAAGACATATATCAGTACAAATGTGAGCCTAAACGAGGCAGAATCTTAATACAACATGTTGTCATCGTATATTTCAAACAGCGTTTGAAAAAAGTGCGGCCTTGAGAAAAAAACACACGCTTTAAGTAAAGAGATTGTTTTTGAACTGCGAAATTTGGGAAATTAAATACTTTTTTCTGATAATAGGTAACTGGATGTATGTGTATCTTGATTAATTTTAAATAACGAAATATGTTTTATGAAATATGTTTTTTCTTATTAGGATAGCGACACGTTAAAAATAGAGGTTTAATGTGAAATACGACATATTTGTTAAAATTTTGATTTCTTATATTCCCAATCAAGGTGCCTACTTCCAGAAAGATGGATCCATTGAAAACTGGTGGAGTAACGCCACCAAATCTAAGTGGAAAGAAGCGAAGGAGTGTGTGGGCGACTACTACTCCACCAAGACCATGGGGCCATTCACTGTCCCAGGGGACCCCGAACCTGTCACTGTAAGTCGGGGCCATTCACTGTCCCAGGGGACCCCAAACCTGTCAATGTAAGTCGGGGCCATTCACTGTCACAGGGGACCCCAAACCTGTCAATTTAGGTCGGGAACATTCACTGTCCCAGGGGACCCCAAACCTGTCAATGTAAGTCGGGGCTATTCACTGTCCCGGGGGACCCCAAACCTGTCAATGTAAGTCGGGGACATTCACTCTTCCAGTGAACCCCACATCTGTCAATGTAAGTCGGGGACATTCACTGTCCCTGGGGACCCCAAACCTGTCAATGTAAGTCGGGGACATTCATTGTCCCAGGGGACCCCAAACCTGTCAATGTAAGTCGGGGACATTCACTCTTCCAGTGAATCCCACACCTGTCAATGTAAGTCGGGGACATTCACTGTCACAGGGGACCCCAAACCTGTCAATGTAAGTCGGGGACATTCACTGTCCTAGGGAACCCCAAACCTCTCAATGTAACTCACATTTATTTCTATTTCTATTTTTCATTTGTACAATCTTTAACAGATTTGTCCGGAAAATGACATCTTGTATTAAGCTTTATTTGAAGTAAGTTGTAAAACAAACCTCAGGCCTTTTTAACTGTAATCGTCCTTTCTTTCCTCTACAGGTGCCCGTGAAAGGAAAGTACTACGGCAGTGAGGGAATAGCTGAGGCAAGCGGGGTCAAAGTAGCTTATAAGGTAATTTCACTCGGCTTGTAGGAAAAGCCGAGGCAAGCGGGGTCAAAGTAGCTTAAAAGATAATATCACTCGGCTTGTAGGAAAAACCGAGGCAAGCGGGGTCAAAGCAGCTTATAAGATAATATCACTCGGCTTGGAGGAATAGCCGAGGCAAGCGGGGTCAAAGTAACTTATAAGGTAATATCACTCGGCTTTTAGGAATAGCCGAGGCAAGCGGGGCCAAAGTAGCTTATATAGCTGATGTCAGCGGGGGCAAGGGAGATTAAATTATAGAATGACTAGGCCATGTAGCGAGCAATAAGTTCAAAAGAAACTTAACAATTCAAGTTAGAAATTATGAGGTTTACAAGGTAAACTTAAATCACTTGAATATGAGGTGATCGATGATGCCAGTAGGAATAGCTGAGGCAAGCGGTGTAAAAGTAGCTTATAAGATAATATCACTCGGCTGGTAGGAATAGCCGAGGCAAGCGGGGCCAAAGTAGCTTATATAGCTGATGTCAGCGGGGGCAAGGTAGATTAAATTATAGAATGACTAGGCCATGTAGCGAGCAATAAGTTCAAAAGAAACTTAACAATTCAAGTTAAAAATTTTGAGGTTTACAAGGTAAACTTAAATCACTTGAATATGAGGTGATCGATGATGCCAGTAGGAATAGCTGAGGCAAGCGGTGTAAAAGTAGCTTATAAGATAATATCACTCGGCTTGTTGGAATAGCCGAGGCAAGCGGGGTCAAAGTAACTTATAAGGTAATATCACTCGGCTTACAGGAATAGCTGTGGCAAGCGGGGTCAAAGTAGCTTATTAGGTAATATCACTCGGCTTGTAGGAATAGCTCATGCCAGCGGGGTCAAAGTAGCTTATAAGGCAATATCACTCGGCTTGTAGGAAAAGCCGAGGCAAGCGGGGTCAAAGTAGCTTAAAAGATAATATCACTCGGCTTGTAGGAATAGCTGAGGCAAGCGGTGTAAAAGTAGCTTATAAGATAATATCACTTGGCTTGCAGGAATAGCTGATGCCAGCGAGGTCAAAGTAGCTTATAAGGTAATATTCCTCGGCTTGGAGGAATAGCCGAGGCAAGCGGGGTCAAAGGAGCTTATAAGGTAATATCACTCGGCTCGTAGGAAAAGCCGAGGCAAGCGGGGTCAAAGTAACTTATAAGGTAATATCACTCGGCTTCTAGGAATAGCCGAGGCAACCGGGGTCAAAGTAGCTTATAAGATAACATCACTCGGCTTGTAGGAATAGCCGAAGCAAGCGGGGTCAAAGTAGCTTATATATCTGATGTCAGCGGGGTCAAGGTAGATTAAATTATAGAATGACTAGGCCATGTAGCGAGCAATAAGTTCAAAAGAAACTTAACAATTCATGTTAAAAATTATGAGGTTTACAAGGTAAACTTAAATCACTTGAATATGAGGTGATCGATGATGCCAGTAGGAATAGCTGAGGCAAGCGGTGTCAAAGTAGCTTATAAGGTAATATCCCTCGGCTTGTAGGAATAGCCGAGCCAAGCAGGTTAAAGTAGCTTATAAGATAATATCAATCGGCTTGTAGGAATAGCCGAGGCAACCGGGGTCAAAGTAGCTTATAAGATAATATCACTTGGCTGGCAGGAATAGCTGATGGCAGCGGGGTTCATTTGAGCAATCTTTAACAGATTTGTCCGGAAAATGACATCTTGTATTAAGCTTTATTTGAAGTAAGTTGTAAAACAAACCTCGGGCCTTTTTAACTGTAATCGTCCTTTCTTTCCTCTACAGGTGCCCGTGAAAGGAAAGTACTACGCCAGTGAGGGAATAGCTGAGGCAAGCGGGGTCAAAGTAGCTTAAAAGATAATATCACTCGGCTTGTAGGAAGAGCTGAGGCTAGCGGGGTCAAAGGAGCTTATAAGGTAATATCACTCGGCTCGTAGGAAAAGCCGAGGCAAGCGGGGTCAAAGTAGCTTATTAGGTAATATCACTCGGCTTGTAGGAATAGCCGAAGCAAGCGGGGTCAAAGTAGCTTATATAGCTGATGTCAGCGGGGGCAAGGTAGATTAAATTATAGAATGACTAGGCCATGTAGCGAGCAATAAGTTCAAAAGAAACTTAACAATTCAAGTTAAAAATTTTGAGGTTTACAAGGTAAACTTAAATCACTTGAATATGAGGTGATCGATGATGCCAGTAGGAATAGCTGAGGCAAGCGGTGTAAAAGTAGCTTATAAGATAATATCACTTGGCTTGCAGGAATAGCTGATGCCAGCGAGGTCAAAGTAGCTTATAAGGTAATATCCCTCGGCTTGTAGGAATAGCCGAGGCAACCGGGGCCAAAGGAGCTTATAAGATAATATCACTTGGCTTGCAGGAATAGCTGATGCCAGCGGGGTCAAAGTAGCTTATAAGGTAAAATCACTCGGCTTGTAGGAAAAGCCGAGGCAAGCGGGGTCAAAGTAGTTTGTAAGGTAATATCACTCGGCTTGTAGGAAAAACCGAGGCAAGCGGGGTCAAAGCAGCTTATAAGATAATATCACTCGGCTTGTAGGAATAGCCGAGGCAAGCGGGGTCAAAGTAGCTTATATAGCTGATGTCAGCGGGGTCAAGGTAGATTAAATTATAGAATGACTAGGCCATGGAGCGAGCAATAAGTTCAAAAGAAACTTAACAATTCAAGTTAGAAATTATGAGGTTTACAAGGTAAACTTAAATCACTTGAATATGAGGTGATCGATGATGCCAATAGTGTCTAAAATCTTAACAATGTTAATTAAAACCTTTTAATTACATTTTTCGAAACTGAGATGATCGATGTGTCAGTATGGTCTAAATAAGGACGTTACATGGTGAATCAAAATCAACTGACTCGCTGATTCATGGGGCTTATGTAAAGTCTCATCAACAAGCAATGTACATGCATACACGAAGTGGAACACTGTTAAAATATTTCAGTATTACTGGCATACTAAACGAATACTAGCTCGTTTGTCTCCATATTTATTCCTTATGTTCCAAACTTATGTGCATATTCATAGTTGTATATACTTTGCCTGTTGCCCAATTTCCTAAAAATCTGATTGATTTAAAAAAACATTTTGAAATGAAATAATCAAAAAGTGCTTATCGTAAGATTTCCTTATTCTAGTGTCGTCTGACTTTAATATCGAGATTTTATATATATGTGTAACTGTGTTAAATAAGATTCATCAGTTTGGAAATATGTGATATCAAAGATTCATCTTACACAAACAATGTACGTATTAAACGTGTCGCATCGTTTCAAGACCGACTGGTCCCTTTGTCAAGCTATGAGCCATAGCGTGTCATAGCTTCAAAAAGGGACCAGTCGGTCTCGAGTCATAGCTTCACATAGGGACTAGTCGGTCTCGAGTCATAGCTTCACAAAGGGACTAGTCGGTCTCGAGTTATAGCTTCACAAAGGGACTAGTCGGTCTCGAGCCATAGCTTCACAAAGGGACCAGTCGGTCTCGAGTCATAGCTTCACAAAGGTACCAGTCGGTCTTGTAACGTTTCGACACGTTTAATACTTACATGGTGTAATTGTGGTTCTAGGGATGACTGTGAGTTTATATATTTGTGTTTAATTGTGGTTTTAGGGTGACTGTGAGTTTTTATATTTATGTTTAATTGTGGCTTAAGGGGTGACTGTGAGTTTTATATTTATGTTTAATTGTGGTTTACTGGGTGACTGTGGGTTTATATATTTAATTGTGGTTTTAGGGTGACTGTGAGTTTTTATATTTATGTTTAATTGTGGCTTAAGGGGTGACTGTGAGTTTATTTATTTATATTTAATTGTGGTTTTAGGGGTGACTGTGAGTTTATATATTTATGTTTAATTGTGGTTTTAGGATGACTGTGAGTTTATATATTTAATTGTGGTTTTAGGGTGACCGTGAGTTTTTATATTTATGTTTAATTGTGGTTTTAGGGTGACTGTGAGTTTATATATTCATGTTTAATTGTGGTTTTAGGGGTGACTGTGAGTTTATTTATTTATGTTTAACTGTGGTTTTAGGGGTGACTGTTAATTTATTTATTTATGTTTAAGTGTGGTTTAAGGGGCGACTAAGTTTTTATATTTATGTTTAATTGTGGTTTTAGGGTGACCTTGTGTTTTTACATATTTTTTGTGTAACTGCAGTTTTAGGGGTGACTGTGAGTTTCTAAGTATATTTGTCGACACGCATATTATGTCATCTGTTGTTTTTAAACCCCATGTACTCAAACTTATATGGTTACTTTTATCTTTAAGGCTTACCGTAACTGGGTGAAAACGAATGGAGCTGAGAAAGAAGCCCCTGGCTTAGATCTGTCAAACGAACAAATGTTTTTCGTTGCATTCGCACAGGTAAATATCATGATAACAGAATTGTAATACGCGTAGTACTCACACTGAAGTTTAGTTAATTACACAAACTGGTTATTTGTCTATAAATAATGAATATAACAATTACATACACACATCACAATTTACATTGAGGCGATATTTACACCTACTTTGTGTCGAACTGTTGTTTGTTTCAGACGATGTGTTACAGTAGAAACGACAACACGGCTTATAACTTTGCTATTCGGGGAACAGTCACAGAAAACATCAGGTAAGATATCCTCTTATAACTTTGCTATTTGGGGAATAGTCACAGAGAACATCAGGTAAGATATCCTCTTATAACTTTGCTATTTGGGGAATAGCCACAGAAAACATCAGGTAAGATATCCTCTTATAACTTTGCTATTCGGGGAATAGTCACAGAAAACATCAGGTAAGATATTCTCCTAAATATTGTGTTCCAAACATCTAAGAATAACAAGTAGTCGATAACCAGACGGGATTCCAATGTTGACATCGCCTCTTCACCTTATATTTTACAGAACTAACGTCATATTGTCACAGCTACCAGAATTCGTGGATGCCTTCAACTGCCCAGTGAAATCTCCCATGAACGCAGAAAAGAAATGCAGTTATTTTTAAATGTTAATTAACAGTACCAACCTACCGTATGACTGAGGATGAGTGTGATTTATGTTAGGGATTTTATGTCGGATTAGAATTCGGTCAGTGTTTAAAGGTAGGATAGAAATATATGTAATTCAGTAAAAGATGGATATCGATATAATGGTGATACAAAAAGAAAAGAGATAATTGCAGTAAACACACGTATTGATTCTTTTATACTTTCATTGTAAGTATTTTGTATATCGAACCATCATCACCTCATATTTAATCAGAATGCCGAAAGAATAGATAATGTACAAGGTACTGTTAGGTAATACTATTTTCACGCTTTCTGGCCGCTAATTGGAAAGCGTAGATTTGTGATTAGCTCACCAGGAATACCCATTGACGTAGGGGTGTCTGTACGTGTTAATTGTATAAATATTGATATATTCGTCCTCTTTCTATCTAACAAGAATTCTTCTATGCCTTTATGGGGACAACAACGGGTACAAGTAGAGTAGACAATAATACAACTCAAGTATGTTAATCCAAGTGATTGTAATTCCATGTATATTTTTGATTCTAAGCTCAACTTGTTTATGAGGAAATCAGACATTAACACGTGCACATTTTTGTTCCATAAACCCCTACAACGTGATACTCTGTTTCCTACTGGCTATGGATTGTAGCTTTTGTTCATTCCATGAATGTTCCTTCCGCCAATCATTCACGTTTAACTATTCACCCATTTTACATTACGATACTTTGTATATTCATACAATAAATGTTTTAATTAATCAAGGAGTACACTATTCATACAACCAGCTATATACATACGAGTAATATATTGGTATAAGTCTGTAAACTATTGGTGTACGTATCGAGCAATGATTGGGATGTTTCATCCATTTCCATGACATTTGTAATGACATGGTTAGTTAAGAGGGGTATCAGCTGCGCTATATCTTACATATACCATTGGATAATAAAAGACATTAAATAAAATGTATCTATATTGTTTGTGTTGGAATAATGAACCTGAATATGATATATTTGCTCACACACTTAATTTAGATATGTTTCTAAATAATTACATGTACATGGTAGTGAATAAACTCATTAACTGGATGCTATCGAGGAGAATGGGCAAGGAGTGTTGAAGGGTAAGCTTGGTTTAAAGTTGATAAAATATCGCATCGTAGATGCCACACATTGAACTTGGTATGAACCTTGTTTATATAATTATATATCTTCCCTTTTGAGGATTCTGTTTAATGTAACATTCCTGATGCGGTAACCGTTATAAAGCGTACGGTAAAATCGAGAACATGTGTCGATGTAATAATATAATTCTATATCTCCCCTTGTGAGTATTCTGTTTAATGTAACATTTCTGATGCAGTAACCGTGATAAAGCGTACGGTAAAATCGAGAACATACGTCGATGTAATAATATAATTCTATCTCTACCCTAGTGAGTATTCTGTTTAATGTAAAATTTCTGATGCAGTAACCGTTATAAAGCGTACGGTAAAATCGAGAACATGTGTCGATGTAATAATATAATTCTATATCTATTCTAGTGAGTATTCTGTTTAATGTAACATTTCTGATGCAGTAACCGTTATAAAGCGTACGGTAAAATCGAGAACATATGTCGATGTAATAATATAATTCTATATCTACCCTTTTGAGGATTCTGTTTAATGTAACATTTCTGATGCGGTAACCGTTATAAAGCGTACGGTAAAATCGATAACATATGTCGATGTAATAATATAATTCTATATCTACCCTTGTGAGGATTCTGTTTAATGTAACATTTGTGGTGCGGTTACCGTTATAAAGCGTACGGTAAAATCGAGAACATATGTCGATGTAATAATATATATATAATAATATATAATAATATATCTACCCTTGTGAGTATTCTGTTTAATGGAACATTTCTGATGCGGTAACCGTTATAAAGCGTACGGTAAAATCGAGAACATATGTCGATGTTAGGCACGGTGAGCCTTTGTTAGGACAGACTCTGAAATAAAGTAGTAAGGTAAGGATATGTACCTATTGGAGCGTCTATACCTGTAACAGCCTACGTATCGAATGACGCTCACTATAGTTACATTACATAATAGGCGTCAATTGTTGAGATGCAAACGGCTTGACATTATAGGTAAATCAATTAATACCTCACATAGCACGGAAGTTACCTAGCCCTTTATGAACGTCAGAAACGTAATTTGTAGAGTTTGTTTTCACAGTTCTTACGTACATATAAAGAAAACCTTAGAAGCAAGGTCGCGATCCTTTTCCATTAACGTGTCGCTCAGTGACGTACTGCATGTCAGCTTCACGCGTCAGCTCCACATGTCAGCTTCACATGTATTGAAATAATGACTTACTATCTTGTAATAAAGACATGGCTTTCTCGTAATAACGTTATGCCGAAATAACTACATAGCTATTTCATCTAGCAATAACGATTTACAATCGCGTTATTACGAGATAGCTAAGTCGTTATTACAAGATAGTAAGACGTTATTACGAGAAAGCTAAGTCATTATTAAAAGATAGTAAGTCATTATTACAAGATAGCTAAGTCATTATTACAAGACAGTAAGTAATTATAACAAGATAGTAAGTCATTATTACAATATAGTAAGTCATTATTACAAGATAGTAAGTCGTTATTACAAGATGATAAGTCATTATTACAAGATAGTAAGTCATTATTACAAGAGAGTAAGTCATTATTACAAGATAGTAAGTCGTTATTACAAGAAAATAAGTCATTATTACAAGATAGTAAGTCATTATTACAAGAGAATGCGTCATTATTACAAGATAGTAAGTCGTTATTACAATATAGTAAGTCATTATTACAATATAGTAAGTCATTATTACAAGATAGTAAGTCGTTATTACAAGATGATAAGTCATTATTACAAGATAGTATGTCATTATTACAA